CCACACTCACCCCCACACCCACCCCCCACCCCCACCCACCCCCACACCCACCCCACACTCACACCCCACACCCACACCCTCATGATAATGTTTAAAAGCAGCAAAACTAATTTCATCATTATTATTTGTCTGTGCCAAACTTTCAATCATTTGTCTAATTTCATTAGTTAATATTTCATGTTCACGTGCAGATGCTTGTTCGTATAAAGTCATTGTTTCTATTCGATAATTTTTCGTAATTTGTGTTATTTGATTATATAATGCTTGTGATTCTTCTTGACTTATTATAGCTTCATCTATTTTAAAGCTAAAATCAATTTTTGAAATCAATTTTGGTGGTAAATCTGATTCGATACGTTTTCCAATTGTACGGTAATTTTTATTTTTTGTTGACCAACTTTTTATTTTTGATTTTAATATAAAATGCATATTCCAATGAATTGGGGTCGCTACTTGTTGAAAATCTTCTAATGCTTTCTATTCTCCATTTATGCTTTAGCTAATTGTATACGATTTTTAGCTAATTTTTTGACATGCTGAGTACATTTATGAAGATATTCCAAAATATATTTTTCTAAACGATCAACTGGATCACGAGTTTGATTTTTAATCGTGGATATTGTTGTGACTGTAGATGGAATACTAAAACTTGTTGCTTGACCAACATTTGTTGTTGTTTGACGTATTCTATCTGTTATTAAATTGGCTGCTAATTCTGATGTAGTATGAGCTAATTTTTGTGTAATTGCTTCAGATGTTGTATATGTCCAATATGTTGTCAATTGTATCTGTAAATCAGATATATTAGCACGTAAAGCTGCTATTTCACCTATTAATCTTCTGATTTTCTTTTGAACAAATTTTGTATTTATTAAATTATCCCTTTTTTTAGAATGTTGTATAACGTCTTTTGGCCAATGTTTTTGTTCTGTACCTAATTTTCAATATTCTTGCCAAACTTGTAGCTCATAATTATTTCTTATTCATTCATCATAGATATAAGCTGATGCTAAATTAAATGTTTGATTGCCTCGACCACTTAGGGCATTTTTAGATTGTTTTGAATTATCTTCAACCATTTTAATATACGATTTGCTTCAAGATAGATTCGACTCTTTTTATTTTCATTTTTACTTTTATTTCTATTATTTAATACAAATTCAACTAAATCCTCACTATTATCAGTTTCATTTTCATCGTTATCATTTTTATCACCTAAAATTTCAAATCTATTATTATTATAAATATTTTGACGATATTGTTCTTGACGATATCATCATTGTCGACGTCTCTATGATGAAGCAGTTCTACGTTGTTGTTAAATTTGTTGCTGTTGGATGTCATTATTATTTTCATTAACTATAAATGGTTGTGTTGTATTATTACTTGCAAATATTGTACGTTGTGGTAATGCATCAGGTGGTGTTGTTGTATATGTAGTTGTTGCAGCTGTATTTATATTAAAATCTTGTGGAGGATTTCTTGTATTTTCTGATGGATCACGAAATTCTTCTGGAAGAAAATCATTTAATCTAATTTGTCGCGGACCACGTCTTTGATTTGAACGATTTTCTCCTTGTTGTTGTTGTGGTTGTTGTTGAACATTGGAAAGACTTCTTGGTCGATTTTGATTAAATATTCGTGACACAGATCGATTAAATCTTCTTTGACCTTGAAATGAATTACCATTGTTATTATATCTATTACGATTATAATATATCATATTTTCATTTTGACGATTAAAATTTCGTAGATATGGAACATATCTATTTGGATAAAAAATTCTTCCATTTCTATACTGATTCCATCTATAATTTGTTCGACAATTATTTCGATAATTTAAATTATTGTCCACTAAAGGTTGCCACGAAAAGAGTTGAAGGAAGAAGCAAGATAGATGATTGAAGAGTCTTTTGACTTCTTTGAAACAAATTTCGATTGAACATTATTAGATGAGTTCAGGGTGGGTGTGGGCATGCGTGTCGGCTGCAATGAGTAGTTAACCGCATCCACACCTACACCCACACCCACACCCTCAAGTCGTTTTTGCTTGTCTAGAGGAATGAATTTTCTATTTTCGACAGTGGTAAGTTCTAGTTGAGGGAAATAATTATGGTACGTTATGTCTGCATGTTTCTCTGTCGCTCATACATACGCAGTTGTGTCATTTACAAACAGGTTTCAACCGATGCAATATAAATGGATTGTGTTTTTTTCTCTATGACTCACTGTGCCGTATATGCAGCTGATTGTTAAGCCGATATTTTGATATTTTCTTTGGGGTTGGGTTTTTTTTACAGATGAGGTTTTTTTGTCGTAGAAGAGGTTACACTTGTTAATGGTAGGATTGAACGGCGCCGAAGCATTCTTGGAAAAGTCTTTTGAACAGGCCATGTTTGGAAGGGTTTATTTTAGAGGGACGCCTAATGTAGATTGGCAGGATAGCGGTGGCGTTCGGAACGTTTTTACGGAAATCATGCTTCTGTTCCGTATGAGTGGATTTCTCTTTACTCATGTGGAAGATCGATTGCTGTTAACTGGTGCCTACACATATTCTGAATGCGGTTCGTGGAAGCACGGCGTAACCCAGCTTTAGATTTTTTTATTCAGTGTTGTGCGAAACCCGTTGTACAGAACCTTTTGTAACTGTCTTAATCGAAGTTTCCTACGAAACGATTGTTAAGAAACTTCTTCTTCAATCTATGAAAATGGTTTGATATGGAACCCTTAGAAACCTTTTTTCAAATCTGTGAAAAGGGTTTTGTACGGAATCATTACTGCGAAACCTTTTTATGGAGCACTGGTAACCAGGTTTGGTGCGAAACTTTCTTTCTACGGAACCAATGAAGGATCTTCCTGTGTACCCGCGGGAAGATCCTTTTAAAGTTTCGTAGAATACCTTTTTTTTAGATTGTATATTAAGATCATTTCTTTTTCTTTATTGAAAATTGCATATCAAGGATATATAAAGGGTGTTCCGGAAGTTCTGAAACGATTTTAAAATTCACCGTTCTCGCATTCTGCAAAAGCATATTCGTTGAAACTTTGGTAGATTTTTGTACATATACAGTACTACATAATTACAAAGTTTGAGGTCTATAGGTTATACTATGGATGAGAAACTGTAACAACACTGACATATACTATTTTTAAAATTTTTCTGGTCATCTTCGGGGTGTGCAACATTTTTTTATTTCGTCTATATCTTCGCTTAGGTAAATGATAAAATTTGAATTGTTCTTTAAAAGATGCGCCGTGAAAAACTCTAAAAAAACTTTAATAACAAATCCCTATTGACTTGTGTTAATGGTTTCTGCCATACTCAAAATGAAAAACCTACATGGTAGTACTACTTCTCACCGTATTGTGCGTAATAAAAAACAAGCTTGGAAGACTGTTTTGCTTCCCAATAGGAATTTGTTTATACAGCTTTGGTAGAGCTTTCGATGGTGCATATTTTGAAAAAACGATCAAGATTTTATCATTTTCTCAAGCTGAGATACATGCAAAACAAAAAGGTCTTCCAAATATTTTTTTTTATTACGCACAACATGGTGAGAAGTAGTACTATCATGTAGGCTTTTCATTTTGTGTTTGGCAGAAACTATTAACACAAGTGAATAGGAATTTGTTATTATAATTTTTGTAGAGCTTTTCACGGCGCATCTTTTTAAAAAAAAATTCAAGATTTTATCATCTATCTAAGCCGAAATATAGATATTTTGGCAGACCCGGAATACAGGAAAATTTAAAAAATAGTACATCATAGTGTTGTTATAGGTTCTCCTTTATAGTACAACCGACAGACCTCAAACTTTGTAGTTACATGTTACTACATATGTGCAATAATATGCCAAAGTTTCACAGAGTTTGCGTTTGTTCAATGCGAGAATGATGAATTTTAAAATCGTTTCAGAACTTCCGGAACACCCTTTATATATATTATACGCCGGGAAAAAATAAGCTGTAATCTGTACTTTTGGGGATATCGTTATCATAGTAGCATATTTTTAAAAAAATAATGATATATTCTGAAAGCGCGTGGAGTTTTCTATCAGTTTGTATATTTGCCTTTTCGTTTGAATATATTTATTATCAAAACAAATTGAGTGTAATGAAAACACCCTCATGTCCAGATTCCCACAGACTTGATTTTATCACTGTCACCAAAATTAGTTTTTAAACTTTTTCCTCATGATAGAATTACCTTTTGAAAAAAGTATTTATATATTTTAATAGAGCTTGAAATTCTCTATCACACTGTATATTTACTTATTGCATTATATTCATTTATCGAAAAGAAATTTGAGTTCAGTGAACGCACTGTCAATTGACAAGTATAAAAAATGTGCATTTTTCGTTACTTCTGAAGTTCTCTTTTTAAATTTATTATTCTTATGGAAAAATTTATTTTTAAAAAGCAATCACAGATTCTTATAGAGCTTGAAATTCTCTATTATCCTGTATGTTTGTTAACTATTTTGCAGTTATGTGCTGCAGCCCATTTAGTGCATAATTGCAAGGTAAGGAAAAAATATATATAGAATGATAGAGAATTTCAATCTCTATCAGAGTCTATAATTTCTTTTTTAGGAATGTATTTGTATAGTAATTATATTTTGAAAAAAGCAAAAAAGTAACGATTTTCAGTACTTGTCAATTGACAGTGCGTTCACTGAACTCAAATTTTCTTTTCGATAAATGAATGTAAGGCAATAAGTAAATATACAGTGTGATAGAGAATTTCAAGCTCTATTAAAATATATAAATACTTTTTTCAAAAGGTAATTCTATCATGAGGAAAAATTTTAAAAACTAATTTTGGTGACAGTGATAAAATCAAGTCTGTGGGAATCTGGACATGAGGGTGTTTTCATTACACTCAATTTGTTTTGATAATAGATATATTCAAACGAAAAGGAAAATATACAAGCTGATAGAAAACTCAACGCGCTTTCAGAATATATCATTATTTTTTTTTAAATATGCTACCATGATAACGATATCCCCAAAAATACAGACTACAGCTTATTTTTTCCAGGCGAATATATATATAATTAATGCCGCATTGATTCACATAGTTGAACCTTGACAGTGTTTTTGTGCATGGCTAAACTATAAGAAATATACAAGTTGTCACACGAATGACGTCAATGCTTTCCACTCTTCCGACTTGTTAAGAAAAAAAAATCATCATTCAACACTTCAATTTAATATTTTTTTCTGTATGTGAGACAAGAGGGAAATAGCAGACTTTGGACCTGAATTAAGTTTAGATGTTTGAAGCTACTTTACGCTACTTCAAAGTACTTTAAACAACTTCAAGTAGTTTAATTTGAGCTACTTTTAGCTACTTCAATTACAGTACGTTGACATACTTTAAGTTACTTCAAGTCTATTGTTTTCCCCTTGATGTGAGAGCGGAGCTGTGAAAAAAAATACTAAAATTCAACATAATCACACTAGAATAAAATCCACCCCAAACTATGATATGCATTGTCTAGCAATGGCACGATGCACTTCAGTACAGCATATGCGACACATATTGAAACCGTGATTCGAATCCATCATACAGGGTATTTTTTATCATTTCTTTTTTCTAAATAATGAATTTCGATATTTTTTTCATTTCAGTCCATTCGATTATTTTAATCTGAAAATTAAAATCGTCCAGATTCTTGAATCTGTCTGGTTTCGTGTTGTCCCGATCTCTATCAGTCCTTTTTAGAATATTCCTTTCTCGATCATTAGCTGAGATCAGCATGTTTTCGGCCAATTAATAATCTGAAAAAAAAGACAAATATAAATATATATACTTAGGGCATACCAAAAGCTCAGAGATTGACACTGCAATATGGCATAATAAGCTTTGAGAAATTTCTCTCTATAGTCTGATAGAGAAAAAAATGCCCTATTTTTCTCTGCTATTTGATCATACTTCAACTAATACCATAATAATAAAACTTCAATAATATCTGTTTTCTTTTATCATATGCTACGGTTGTACTATGTGTTTTCAATAACTTTTGATAGAAGCAGAATAGAGAGCAACGGTTTTCACCGTTGGAAAGAGGAAGTGAAGATGCATCGAATTGCATATTTTATATTTTCCTAGGCATTATCTAAGAATTTCTTCAGTCAATTTTCTAAGAATGGAAAACAATATTTTTTTCTTTCTTCACACAGATTGCTAGAAAAATCACTTCGAACTTCGACTAGAGCATCCATAACTCCTGAATGATTAATGAAAAATATTTGTGACTTTTTCTGTTTTGTAGCTCTCTTCGTTCGGTTTGAATACATATCTGATAATTGGAAATTCATTGTAAACACCTTATGGAGTAGGTTCGTTTTCAGACATGTCGATTGAAAACCTTTTAAAGTCATATCCATAAACCAATAATAAAATTCGGTGCATCTTCATTCCCTGTTTCGAATGGTGAAAACCGCACCTCTCTATCTTGTTTTTATCAAAAGTTATTCAAAAAATATTCACTGAATAAGCATTCTTGTAACCGCAGCGTATGATAAAAAAAAACAGATATTATTGAGATTTTATTATTATGATATTAGTTGAACTATGATCAAATAGCATAGAAAAATAGAGAATTTTTTTCTCTATCAGCCTATAGAGAGAGAAATTTCTCAAAGCTTATTATGCGATATTGCAGTGTTAATCTCTGCACTTTTCGTATTCCCTAAGTAAGTTTCGTACGTTGACTAGCTTGTCTGTATATATTGGATGTCCCGAAATAATTACGATAGCATGTAACTTGTGAAAAATTCTGCACCGACACATCATAGAAACTTAAGCTCTTTCCAAAACCTGTATTAACAAACGTGTTCACACAAACTTTTAGTATTTCTTTCATGGCCAAAAGGAAAAACATATATAATAGTGTTACTTCTCACAGCATTTAATGCAACAAAAATTGACATGTGAAACGATGAATTGCAACACCATACACCTTGTTAGCTAATGTAACAGAACTATCTGGTATCTTTTTTCAATTTTTGTAATGATTAATAGCAACTGCACGTGGATATTCGCTTTTAGCCATTATTGGCATTTGAATCAAAATTTATTTCGTTTTTCCTTTTTGTTAGGATAACGAATTTTAAAAGTATATTAATATAAATCAAAACAGACATGCGTCCCTATATATATATATTTGTGTGTGCTAACGGAGAACGGCTAGACATGAAAGAAAATAAGAAGGAAAAGAAGTAGACGATAAACAGCTATCGAATAGAACTGAATCTGTTATGTTTTGCACAGATGCTAACCTTCGATCGTTTAGAAAAGTCATTTTTCATCATGAAATAAGCTGTAAGCACGGGTCTAAAAGAGCTTGTTAACATAGGTTTTGCAACGTCTCTCAAGGCGTAATTTTTGGAAAGAAAAGTTCAAGATAATATCATTTGTTTGTGCAGAAGTATTTATAAACTCAATTTTATTGGAATAATTCTGGGATACGTTGTGTGTTTGTTCAAAACAAAATGGCGAATCAAAAGACGATAGGCAGAAAGAAAGAAATCAAAATAGGGGAATCTCGTTGGAAAAGGATGAAAAAAGAAAAAGTAGAACAGTGTTGTGGAGACGCTAAGAACATTCTCTAGAAGCACAGATTTTAAGTAAAGAAAAGAACGCGTTCTAAAATGCTAAGAACGTCGTTTCACAAGAACAGTTCTTAAATAATAAATCGCATTTTACAAGAATGGACTTCCTGTACTATTAATACACGTTTTAAGAGAACACATTCAAAACCTGTTTTTTTATTACCCTGAAGTAGATAGGAGCAGATGAACTTCTAGTTATGAAACGTCGAATGTGCATTGAACTGTAGTTACGTATTCCATAACCATTCAATTTTTTACTTACACTGAACAAAAGCTGCGTGTAATTGGACATCGAACGAAATTTATGTTAAGCGCGATCGATTTCAGTTTAAAAAGTGTGAATAAACTTTTTAAAAAATTAATTTAAGAAAATCAAGTTTAAAACTCAAAATTTAATTGTAATTTGACTTTTTAATATTTTGAAAAATTTGCAAAAATTATGTCTGGCGAGAATAAAGTAATAAAAAAATTCAATAGCGATTGATGGCCTAATGTGTACTACGAGTAAAGCTAAGTGGTGAATTTTATCGCATATAAAACGCAATAAGTAAATTCTAGATAGTAACTACTATAAGGTTTGCAAGACATTTCAAATCATATTTAAAATCTGTTGTAACTTTTGCATTTTCTATAGAAGAAATTTTTATAAAAATAAGAAAGGAGGTTCGGTTAAAGAATGTAAAATGAAGCGTTTTCCTTTAAAGAAAAGTAATCAGTAATCGCCTTTTTTCAAGAATGCAGTCTGAAAATGCATACGTTCATATCAAAATATGGAAAAATCTCCATGAATATCATGCTTCAGTGCGTCAATCGTGACTCATATTCAGAAATGAATGCTATGCAATTTTGAACACGCTCACATTAAACGATAGAAGCATCTTCTGAAATTGCATGAGCGTATTTATGCAATAAAAGTTTCTTTGCAACATAAATGCGCTGCAACGGATTTCTTACAAGAGTGTTTTTTTCGATTTGAATTTGTGCGTGATTAGCAGTAACGCGCTATTTGTCGACAGATATGCATTTTAATGGTTTCATTTTTCGCAGAACATGTTATTAGTCAATAAAATGTGTTATAATTTATAGAAAACGCGTTCTTTTGTCCGTTTCTTTCTGTCAGTATTTTCCAATGGGTATCCTAAGTGTAAAGCTTTTTCGTCGTTGGGTTTGCAGCACTATTAATTATTTATGACATATTGAATTCTAATGCACAAACGATTGCAGATTGATATCAAAGATGCAAGTGGATATGAAAGAAACTATTATCAATGGTAATAACAGCGTACAAAGTGTTTATGGTCTACTATTTAGTGCATCGATGAGATCTTATATTTTACTTATAGTCGGAATACCATCGTTCATGTGTTATGTATTCATAATAGTTTACGTACTCACTAACAGGAATCATCGTTCAGCACCTAATAATTATTGTCTTCTCATTATCTTAAATCTTCAATTTTTCTGTAATATAATCGATATTCCGTCGGAGATATATTTTTATCGAGAAGGTCGAGTCATTTTTGAGAACGCTATTTATTGTTATATCTGGCAATTTTTGGCTTATACCATTTGGCCGATCAATGTTATTCTCTTAGCATGGGCTGCATTTGAACGACATATTCTTATTTTTCATGATCGGTTTCTTCGTTCAAAACGAGGAAATATATGTTTGCATTATGCACCACCTTTAATTATTATTACTTATGGTTTATGTTTCTATGTCTATGCTTTTACGTTTTACAAATGCAAAATTCCGCATGTGTTTCAACAAAACTTTTGTAGCACTCCCTGCTATACAAATTATGCACCCATAATGTTATTTAGCAGAATAGTTAATTATATGATTCCCTCAATACTTACTGTTTTATTTAGTGTTTTACTCCTTATTCGTGTAATATGCTCAAAGCGTCGTATGCGGAGGGAGTTTAGCTGGCGAAAGCACAGTAAAATGGCTTATCAACTTCTTTTTATATCATTTCTCAGTACTTTAACTGTCTTTCCGTATAGTATCACTAGTTTTTTGAGTTATGTTGGCTTGAAAACCATTACAAAACCAATGCAAAGTCTGTTCAATTTCATAGCTGTTTTAGAACCTGTGCATTTTCCTTTCGCGTATTTGACGACAACATCAGATTTCTGGGCATTAATTAAAACAAAGATTCGCCCTGTAACTACTCGACGAACGATTCCAATAAATCTCAACCGTGATTAAACACAAATTAGCTCGCAATTATCTAATTAATGTAGAGAATATTGAAGCGGTGATGATGTGCAAGAGCTTTTCTTCTCGTAATGCTATGTTTATATACCTTTCTTTGTGATATAGATTTAAAGTTACTTGTTCATTAGTGTTTTACGTAATGTGTATTCTGATCACATACTAAAAGTGGTTCCATTATATAAACTGTCGTTCGTGACTCATCTTTGATCACAGTTTTATACGCTTCATGTTCATATGTTGTATGAATTCTCTTCCTATTTATTTCTATAAAATATAAGTTATGCCTTGACGTTTTGATCAATGAAATTGATCTTCTTCAGAAATTATTGAACAGTTAAGATTACTAAATTATAATGGATAAACTTTAAAAAAAACAGTTTAAAATATACAAGGAAGCCAAAAGAGTAAAAAGATAATCAACTTGAGGAGTCATGAACTTG